AAAATAAACAAATCTTTAAAAAAAAAATTGAGCTGGAGGTGTGACTCAATGGAAGAGCTGGTGCTTAACTTGCACAAAGTCCTGAACTCAGTCCCCAGTACCAAAAATAAAAACAAGCAAGCAGGTCGATGCATTTAGGGCTCTCGCAAATCCAGAATACCTAGCCCATGAGAAGAAGCCCTGAGTTCAATCCCCAATGGGGGCTGGGGGCGGATATCGAATCAGTAACTTCCTGCCTGGTGGCCAGCGGGAGAACAGGGCTTAGTTAAGAGCCTAGAAGCCAATACTCTGGAATGCGTGTCAATAGCCCGCATCAAAGAACAGCCAGCCATTACTCAAGCAGCAGGCCTTGGCCTTGGGGACTTCCCAGGCATTCTCATTAGGTAGAGCAACAGCCTGCCCTTCCTCTTCCTGTCCATTTCAGACACTGCCAGTAGCCTGGAATTCCAGTGTCCCACAAGAAAATGGAGGCGTAGAGTTCAGAGTCTAGGGTGCTTGGCTGGCACGTAAGGCCCTTGAGTGAAAGAAAAAATACAGGCTAAGTTCTCCTTTCCTGCGCTAGACAATTCCCTCCAACTCAAATCCAACACACTTCAGAACAACCTGTCAAATATATATCAAGAACCTGACAAGACAGGCTGGGGAGGTGGCTCAGGAGTTTTGCTGCACAAGCCCCAGGGCCTGAGTTCAGAGCCCCACACCCACATGAACTGGGAGTGGCCGCACACCCTCACCTAGCGCTGTCACTGTCTGTCGGGGCAGACACAAGGATGGCTGGCACTTGTTGGCTGCCAGCTGACCTCTCTAGTTCAGTGAGACCTGGACTCAAGGGAATAAAGAGAAGTCTAATAAAGTATGCCTGTTAGCCTCCTCTGGCCTTTGAGAGGCATGCACGCCGGACACCACACAAACACACACCCAAAAAAAACAGAACCGACAGAAGCTAGGCACGGTATGGTGGCTCACACCTGTAATTCCAGCCAGCACTCCAGTATGTGAACTGGGAGGATTATGTTCAAGGTTAGCCTGGGCTGCACAGTAAGTTAGAGGCCAGCCTGCCTAGGCTACAAGCAGGAACCTGTCTTTAAAAAAAAAAAAAGCTACCTTTTGCTAAACAGGATTTTCTCGGCATCATCATCAGGTGAAACTGGGGGTTCCTGTTGCTACTCATAACTCAAGCAGGCTAGGCTACGATGCGCTGCCTCCTTGTGTACAGACACTAAGGGGTTAGCCACGGCCCAGGTGACAGCTGTAATGGCGTCTCAGCTTGAGTGGAGAGCATCTGCCCCACGAGGGCACCTCCGCCACCTCTCTATGCTCAGCTCACCAACCCTGACCCACTTGTTCCCACCGGAGCAGTCCCTCAACTGCACATCCTGACACTAAGATTCCCTGGAGCCAAGGTGAGCAAAGCTGTTTCCGGCAGGCAGGCCCAGACACAGCATGAAGGTGGGGGGTGGGTGGTCAGGGGCTGCCATTGCAGGCAGCTAAGGATGCCCTGTGCTGCGTAGGCTTAGCTTGCCACCATGTCACCATTCTAGAAAGCGAATGCATGGAAATTACATCCAGCACAGAGTTTTTTGTTTTGTTTTTTAATTTTTTAATATATTTTTTAAAATTGTGTGTGTGTGCGTGTGTGTGCGTGTGTGCGCGTGTGTGTGTGTGTGTGTGTGTGTGTGTGTGTGTGTGTGTGTGTGCGCGCGCATGCACCTGTGTTCTGGAGATCAAAGGAAAGCCAGCCAGGAGTCAGGGCTCTCTCTGCCTCTACCACGTGGGGCTGTACATGGAGCCGAGGCCAGGCCTAGCATCAAGCACTCACCACCTGCGCTGTGGTATTTGGACAGCCCTGCCAACGGAACATGAGCAAAGAGTGAGCATCCTGAGACACCCCCCCAGTCAACAGCCGACGACTTCCGAGGCTGGGCACCTGTCCTCATTCCCTACGAAGAGGTTAAACTGGCTTTTTATTCTTTTAGCATGTCTTTACTTTCTGACTAGGTGGGAAAGGCAGAAAGAATGGATGGGCTAAGAGTAGCCCAAAACAAACATCTGTACCCCCAGGCCTTTGTGAAGATACGACAGGACCTGGAATACGCTAAGCACCCAGGATAGCATTAAAACACAAGCCATGAAATTGCTCCAGAGTCTGAGTGTCACCCTGAAAGTAGTGCCACACTGAACCCACAGGCCCTAAGAGCCTCAGGGAGCACACATGGGCTACAGTCACAGGCTCTCAGTGGTGGAGAGTCGTCAAAACAAGCTAGCATTCTTCCAGTTATCAGTGTGACCTTGGCTACGGTATGGGCCTGGAGTTAGACCAAGGCCATCATAGGACCCTCCTACCTACCGAAGAGCTCAGGGAAGAGAGGCCCATTTAACCAGACTCTGGTCAGATGAACTGCATACGCAGATTTTTATTTTTCCAAACAATTAAGGGCTGTAGTGTGACTTGGTAGGAGGGTGCTCACCCACCATGTGTTAGGGTCCAAGTTCACAATGCCCCACACTACAGAAAGTGAAAAAAGAAGTCTGTTTTTGGGTGCGGGTGAATCAGAACTCACGAGGGATGGGATGGATGACTCAAGGCCAACAGGATCAACTGCATTTCTTTGCATTTTTCTTGCAACACTATCTCAATATATAGCGGAGGCTAGCCTTGAACTTCCTAGCCCAGGGTAGCCTCAAATTCAAGATCCTCCTATCTCAGCTGTCCAAATGCTGAGATCACAGGCAATTTTTTTTCTTTCTTTTTTTTTTTTTTTTCCGGAGCTAAGGACTGAACCCAGGGCCGTGCGCTTGCTCTACCGCTGAGCTAAATCCCCAACCCCTAATTTTTTTCCTTTTAAGCACATTAATTCCCCCCACTGAGGTGGAGGCAGGAGGATCAGGAGTTCAAGGTCATTCTCAGCTGCATAGCAAGTCCAAGGTCAGCCTGGGCTACATAAGACACTGTCATCCCCAAAAAAGGTTAAGGCCACTTTGAGCCCCCTCCTTCACTGAGTAGTTACAAGTAAACAGACCCTGAAGCTATAGTTTACTTCCTTCGGGAAGGGTTATGACCTGAAAAGACCGACTTGAGAGAAGCCCCTCTGTGGGGATTAAAATCTCAGTTCACACCTGTCTGTGCAACGTGATGATTGAAATGAGGCTAGGTAAGGCAAGACTTATGGGGAATGATCCGCCGCAGCAAACCAGGTGGCCTCGCCTAGAATCCAGGTGATGGATGCAGTGGGTCCCCTGGCGCTGCCTTGGTAACCCGCAGTGCTTTTAACAAAATCACCGGTACCATTTTAGAAACACAACTTCTGTGCCCAGCCCTCACATTTGCTACAAAATAAAGACCGGCCAATGGCTCCCGCCAGATCAAAGAGGAAAAATAAGAGGTTCAGGGCAATGGGGACCACAAAAGCCCCTCCAAGACCTACTACGCTCCGGAGTTCACACACATACCAAGATCACCCCCGGCACACACACAGGCTCTTCCTGCAACTCCCATACCCGTGTAGTCTGAGGCAGAGGTCACCAGGCAACCTGGCCTGCAGGAGGGAGCTTCAGGCCATGTCGATCACAGGCGCCAGGACAGGGACAACAGGCGGCGGCGGCGGCGGCGGGAGGGGTCACCCCATTCCCACCCTCCCCCACCCCCGCCCCAGGGAGAAGCGCGGCCACCCGCAAGGCCTTGGGCAAAAGCCTGCGCACAACACACAAGGGGACACGCCGCCTCCCCCCCCCCCCCATCCGCCCCATTGTCCCTACTCGAATTTTAGGGAGTCGGGAACAAGTGCCCTCAGACACGGGCCCCGGCCTGCGCCTGCGCACTACGCACTACGCAGCCTCTCCAAGGGCGCCCCGGGAAGCGAGCGGAGCGCGAGGCCTCTTTTGGCCCGGCTGCCCTGCAACCGGGGCCCAGGAGACACTACAGCGTCCCTCTCCACCAGACCGAGTACCCTCGAAGCTCACCGGTGACCAGAAGGCTGGCGAAGAGGGCGAGAGCGTACATGGCGCCGCTGCACTCGGCAGGCTGCAATGCAGACGGTCAGCTGATCGGGCGGATATAAATCTATCCCTCAACCCCGCCGCAGACGCCAGCGCGCGTGCGCGGGCCCCGCCCCAGCTGGGCGCAGCCTGACTCAGCGCCGTGCAGCGCGCCGGCCGGCGGGGAGGGAGGGTGCGAGCGGGCCTGGGGAAGGGCTGGCCCGGGCAAGGCGGGGGTGGCGCGGGTGAGGTGGTAAAAAGGAAAGCCTATCAGGTGTCTAAATCAAGGTCAGGAATTATACGGTATCTAACGTGTCTCTTTCCCTTTTGCAAGGTGAGGAATCCAGCCCAGGGCCTCTTGCAACCCCAACATCTTTTTAAGTCTCACTGTTTTTCCCCCTTTGGAGGACAATATTTGCTTTTGAGACACGGTGTCACTGTGACCTTGGGTTGCCCAGGCAGACCTGGAATCCACAACTTCCTGCCTCAACCCCTCGGAGCAGTGTTTGGGGGATTGATTTTTGTTCTCAGTCCCGGGTATTGAACCCAAGGCCCTATACTTGCCTGCCAAATGTCCAACCTTTGAGCTGTACCCTTCCTCCAGCCCACTCCTTAGTTTTTATTTTGAAATAGGGGCTCACCAAATTCTCCAGGAAGGCCTTGAACCTGTGATCCTTCTGCCTCAGCCCGCCTTGTATAGTGGTTGTTAGTTTTTTGAGACAGGGTCTCCTGTAATCGAAGGAGGTCTACAATTGACTGTGAAGATTCATATATCCCAGGCCGACCTCGAACCTCATTGTGCAGCTATCAGTCACCTCTAACTCCTGATCCACCCTGCCTTCACCTCCTGAGTGCTAGGATCACAGGCACCACCATACTGGTTTGATTTGGTGCCCGAGACCAAACCCAGGGCTCCATGCATGCTCGTCAAGCACTCTACCCACTGAGATACATCTCTAGCCCCCATTGACTGTGACTCTTCCCATTTTGACAGGTGAGAATCAAGAACAAACAGGTGTGCTCACCTCAGCAGCACATAGACTTAAAAAAAAAAAAAATGGACTGACACAGAGAAGATCAGCATGGCCCCTGCACAAGGATGGCACGCAAATTCGTGAAGCGTTCCATATTAATAAAGAAAGAACAGGCAGGTCACAGATTTGCCAAAGTCGGTACACTCAGGATTCAAGTTCACCACCTCCCATTCTGCAGTTGTCAATCAATCCAGACTCAGAAAACGGAAAACAAAAGAAGCCTTTATAGGTGATCTTGAGGACTACAGATTGCAAGATAGTCTCCAAGGTCTCTGAATCAGTGTTCAAGAGAAGGCAGGGAGGAAGTCTGAACGTGTAAGCAGTAAAATGAATGAATGAATGAATGAATGAATGAATGAAAAAATAAATAAAAACTTATTTTCAGGAAACCTGTGTGGCTAGGAGAAAGAACAGATGCCACAGAACAGGGACTCATGCCTGGTGGAAGAAGAAAACAAGAATGCATGCCGAGTGTGGCACCCTGTGCATGTGGTCCCAGCACTGGGAGGCTGAGGCAGGGTCTCTCAGAAAATAAATAAGATTATAAAAATTGTTTTGGGGTGGTGGTGGGAACAATCAGCTGTTAAGAACACTTGCTTCTCTTTCAGAAGACTGACATTTAATTCCCGGCACCGATGGTGAGGTTGTGGGGGAGACTGGGGGGGGGGGGAGACGGATGACGGACACGGGGTGTGTCACAACCACTTGAAACTCCAACTCCAGGAAGATCTGACACCTCTTGGTACACCTGCACTCATGTACACATCCCACCCGTAGACACATACACATAATTAGCAATGAAATCGATTTTTAAATTGTTTTATTATTAGACTGATGAGATGGGGGGGTGCATGCCTTTAATCCCAGCACTCGGGATGCAGGGGCAGGCAGATCTCTGTGAGTTCAAAGCCATCGTGGTCCACAGAGTGAGTTCCAGGTCAGCCAGAGCTACACAGTGAGCCCCTGTATCATAAACAAAACAAACAAAGTCACTCCTAAGCCAGCATGGCAGATGATGCCTATGATCCCAGCACTTGGGAGACTGAGGCAGGAGGATCTAGAGTTCCAGGCCAACCTGGGCTACAGGTTTTGAGACCCTGTTTCCAAAAACCAAAACCAAAAAAGAAGAAGCCAGCACAGCGGCTCAAGCCTGTAATCCCAGGCTAGAGATAGGAGGACCATCATAGGCAGGCCAGCCTGAGCTAGGGAGTAAATTCATGGAAATAGAGGGAGACCCTTCGGTCAAAAGAACAAAGAAGGGGTGGTGTTGATGGGGATCTATAGGCAGGTAATGGCTGCTGGGTGAGGGGAGACATTTTCTTCACCCATGATCCTCATGAAACTCGGGGTCACATACACGTACACACAAAAGCATGGAAGGGGACTAGCTGAGAAGAAAAGGTCATCAAGGACGGGGACAAGACAGGGGTGAATATGACCAAATGCATTATACACAAGCATGGAAATGTCATAATAAAACTCATTATTAAGCCGGGCGGTGGTGGCGCACGCCTTTAATCCCAGCACTCGGGAGGCAGAGCCAGGCGGATCTCTGTGAGTTCGAGGCCAGCCTGGGCTACCAAGTGAGTTCCAGGAAAAGGCGCAAAGCTACACAGAGAAACCCTGTCTCGAAAAACCAAAAAAAAAAAAAAAAAAAAAAAAAAAAAAAAACTCATTATTATCGTTAATGTAGTCTGATAGCATTTTGTTCAAGAATGATGGGCCAGGCAAGATGGCCTCAGCGGGTCCAGTCGCTTGCGGCCAACCCTGAAAACCTGAGTTCAATCACTGGGACCCACAGGATAAAAGAGGAAATCAACCCCTGCAAGCTGATCTCACTTGCCACTATGACACAAGTGTGCCTACACACACACAAATAATATAATAAGTAAATGTAATTTTTCAAAAGCGTAAAAAGGTGGAAGTTACAGCCACTAGAAAAGGGAACAGGAAATGAGCCAGAACTGGAGAAACCACCGAGGATTATAGTAGCAGAAGCCACCCCACCCTACCCAGCCCTCTCCACCACATTCCAGCCCCGGTAAGGAAAGTCAAGGTGGACAATAAACCCACTCACAGCTTTCTGCAATTGACCCTGGGGCTGAGCAGAATGAGACACACGCACCCAGGAACAGTACCAGCTCACCCCCAGGCAACGTGAGGAACTGACTCCCAGCACGTTGGCACGGGCCCTTCGAGGTTATCATTGTACCAATGGGGAAAAGAAGGCCTGGGGAGAAAGAGGCAGGCACACAGATCTCACAGCACTTGGGGCAACAGTCTTGTCTGGAAGCAGGTCTCCTGACCGAGGAGACCTGACTCAGAATCCCAGCCTTCTTCCAACCGCCTGCAATCTGCTCTCCCTCCTGCAGACACACAGGCCCCTGAACTCTCCTCTCCAGTTCCTGCTAGCAGGTCCCACTTCCCCTGGGGAGCCAAGTAGGGAAGTGGGCAGTGAGCAGGACTCTGAGGAGCTGAAGAGATCTGGCAGATTGGCTCCTTAGAACGTGGTGGCTCCATGCTGTATAGACAAGAGAGCCAGACTGTTCAAGGTCATTCTCTGCTACATACCAAGTTTGAGACCAGCCTAGGATACAGGAGACGACTTCTCAAGAAAGATGTGTGTGTGTGTGTGTGTTTGTGTGTGTGTGTGTGTGTGTGTGTGTGTGTGTGTGTGTGTGCGCGTGCGCGCACAATGAATGGATTATCACTTTTTTTTTCCCCAATCAGTGGGTACCTAAATCCTCTATAAAAGCCCTCTTAGAGCCAGGCATGGTGACACACATCTTTAAGCCCAGAACTTGGGAGGTGGAGACAGGAGGATCAGGAGTCCAAAGTCTCAAAGGTGAGAGGGAGCACTGAAATGGCCTAATGAGTGTTTGTCCCAAGCTTGATGACCTAGTTCAATTCCCAGAGCCCACGGTGGAAGGAAAAAAAAACTGATTCTCAAAAATTGTGTTCTGACTTCCACAGGAATATGGCATTTGTGTGAACTCTCTCTCTCTCTCTCTCTCTCTCTCTCTCTCTCTCTCTCTCTCTCTCTCTCTCTCTCAATAAATATATTTAATGTAATGAACATTTTAATTTTAAAAAATGGGGCCAGCAAGATGAGTCAGTCAGTTATAGCTCACCAACAATAGCTAACCAGAGTTCAAGACGGACGGTGAAAACCAACCCCATAAAACTGTCCTCTTGACCTCCACAAACACCGTGGCATGCACCTTTCCCCATCCATCAGACACACAACAATTAAAAAATAAAAATTTAAGCCTCAAAATAGTAAGTTAAGTAAATAAATAAAGAATCCGCTCAATCTGTGCACAGGCATTAAGAGCTATGAAGCCCTTGGGGCTTTTTGCCTGGTCATACTGTTCTAGGAAGCCCCAGGAAAGCATTTATTAGAAATGTTCACAAAGGGCTCCTTATGAGAGGCATGGAACCCGGAAAGATCCCAATGGCTGAAGGGTGCTGGGGTGGTACGGAAACTGGGCTGGTGAGAATAATGTGCAGAAACAGACTTCAAGAGGGAGGCACAAGTGGCAAGACCAGTGTGCAGCCAGCCTGCAAGATAATCAGGATCCAAGAACGGCTAGCAGAGCAGGACCCCGAAGTTCTGTGTTAGAGACAAGCCCTTCCAGACTTCCCAGGGTGCCCAGCAGCATTGGCCTCCCCCAATCCCGAAGCCTCACAATGAGTGAGGTACCACGCCATATTATCTTCTGTGACACGTCGAATTTTGGGTCTGTGAGATAGGATCCCCTTATGCAGCCCAGGCTAGCCCAGAATTTGTCATCGTCCTGTTTCTGTTCTTCAAGTGCTCAGACCACGGGTGGGTAAAACCATGTTCAGTGAGGAGAAGAACCAAGACCTGGAAGTGGAGAGCACACTGGCTTTACTACATTAACTCATACTCTATCACATCTAGATGTCCACATGACTTAGGATTACGAGGAAAACGTAGATTAATACATGCGCAAGAAAATGTAAATGTAAAAAGAAAACACCCCTACCTCCATCTCCTGGAAGCTACAGTTTTCAGGGAACTGAAAAAATATCTTGCCCAAGAACCGTGAGCCACACTGGCAGCAGAGTTCCTGATGGCTTTGGTTTTTTGTTGTTTGGTTGTTTGGTTGGTTGGTTTTTTGAGACAGGGTTCCTCTGTATAAGAGCTCTGGATGTCCTGGATCTTGCTCTGTAGATCAGGCTGGCCTCGAACTCACAGAGATCCACCTGCCACTGCCTCCCAAGTGCTGGGATTAAAGGCGTGTGCCACCACCGCCCGGCTAACTTTTGGTTTTGTATGGTGGATTTCCATCAAGTCCCAAGGAAACCACTAGTTCCTGTGTATAATTCTTCCGAAGGGAGACCCCAGAGGGCAGCCACAACTGCCACCAAACACCGCAGGCCACAGTAATGTGTCCTGGGCCCATACACCACTCTTCCAAACTGCCACCTGGAGCCCTCTCATCCCTGAGAGCCTGTCCCCTCAAAGTGTCTCAAGGAGAGGCTCTCTCCCACCAGTATCCCTCAATTAGACCCCAGCCTAACTCTCTCTGGTTGCATTGGCCTTCCTGAGTGGCCTGGGGACCTTGGATGTTACTAAATATGGGCTTAGCCATCTCTTTTTTTTTTTCCACTTTTTTTATTTATTTTTCTTTTTTTGGTTTTTCGAGACAGGGTTTCTCTGTGTAGCTTTGCGCCTCTCCTGGAACTCACTTGGTAGCCCTATTTATTTTTCTATTGTCAGCTTGATACAGTATAAATTCTTATCCTAATAGTGAGATGTTTCACTGAGGCTTGCCCAGTAATTGAGTAAAACCAAAACTTATTATAAGCCACAGTCATCCTAGGGTCCCCTCTGCTATATAGTCTCCCTGGTTCTATGGGTTACAGTCTAATTGTTCTTTACTTTATATCTAGAATCCACTTATGAGTGAGTACATACCATGTTTGTCCTTCTGGGTCTGGGTTACCTCACTCAGGATGATATTTCTAGTTCCATCCATTTGCCTGCAAATTTCATGCTGTCATTGTTTTTCTCTGCTGAGTAGTGCTCCATTGTGTATATGTACCACATTTTCTTAATCCATTCTTCAGTTG